TTCCGTGTTCTGCCTGCGGGCAGCAATGCAGAATTTGCTGCAAGCGCTCTTCAAGCAATTTGAGCGAGCGCTGGCACTAATTTCGGCGGACGCTTGGACTTTTTTTACGCAGTCTCGGAAGTACGTCGAGCAAAGGTAAGACTCTATGTGCAGAGGTCTCGTCGCCGGTTTGATTACCCGAGTTGATACTTTCTCTCTGCAAAAGGTACCTACGGGCTGTGCGGTCCTCCACAAAGGACCGTGCGGCCCTTAATAATTTTGCATATTCTCGCGGAAAGTCCGCGAGAATGCGGCCACTGCGCCGCGACTTATCTACAGGAAACCCGCGATAGTTCTCTATGCAAACGGTAAGAAATTGGCCAACATTCTTTCAAAATTTCTGCAAGCGGGCCGCAATCAGCGAATTATTTTTCCGGTGCCCGCTTACCCAAAAATCGCATGACCGCCTGCTCACGGCGATTACCTGAGAGAGAAGAATAATCAGGCTCAAATCACCATTGCGTTACGAGGCTTCGGCTTCCGAATATATTTGTTCTTGCCGCCTGCCCTCGCGATTCACGTAGTAATGCAGACTAGCATGTTACTATAATCCAATACTCGCAGTATTTTCCATTTGCATAGATAAGGAGAAACAACCGTATCTTTCTCTTAAAAAACAATTCAAATGAAATTCCCACTGTGTAAAGAAAAAGTTTGAGCAGTAGCAACGATATAAAAAGCGCAGTTAACTGAATGGTTTGAAGGAAAGTAATTGGGGTATGGCACAACCACAAAAAAAGTGTTGCAGCCACAGCTTTTCTAGGGTTGTGAAACCCCATTAACTTACCTCCAAAAAGAATTTTAGGGAACAAATCATATACAGCTTGATAACCAAAATCCCGTAGTTTTTATGAAAGTGATCAGAGCTGGTTGCAACCTCCTTATTTGAGCAATAGTTGCTGGAAGCACTACCACTGTAAGTGAAACAGGGAAAACGAGATTTTGGCTGGCTCCTAAATCCGTAATCTGATGGTCATTTGGAGCGATTCATGTTATGAGCAAATGAGGAGTACCGCTTTTTACTCAGAAAAAAGGTAGCTAGTTCACTTTAAAATGCAGTCAACCATGTCTGAAAATGGCCACTTCACTTGGATGGCCTAATATTGGGAACCCTCAGAATTCGCTTGAACTTGGCCTACAGGGTTTTTCAAAGGCAGTGGCTCGGCAAATCTCAACCTAGTCTATTTTTCGCTTACCTGGGGTTGTTCAGTACGATGATCTCGAAAATCCACTTTAGAAAGCTTGAAAATGGAGAAACCGAGTTTCAACGTTCTTCCCTTCAAAATTAGATGAATGAAGCAAGGCTGATGACGTTGAATCGTTGCGGTACCCAATGGTTATAGCACTGCGGCGGGCAGCTCAGTAATGAGAAGGAAATTATGAACTCGTCGGGGCGAGTGTAAGGTTGGCGCGCGCATGTAAGTTTGAGGCAATCTTCTCGGCAGGGAAGGCATGCTGTGCAACCAGGATTGCACTGTTTTCATACTTGGGCGACGAGGAATCTACCGCGTTTAAGTCCTGAGTTGTTAAGTTTTGCCGATTTCCTAACTTGCCATAGTGTGGACCCCGGCCAGCTTCTCATAAGTACCTGCGCGACGCACCCGCAACGCACACCTTCAGTGCATCTCCTGTCCTAGCTTCCGATGGAAATCCTCCTTTCTCTCTCTTTTTTTTGTTTTGGTGTACTATATTCCCTCTATTTCAGGTATGAACAATTCGCGATGACCGGTGACGAGATTTCACGTGCTCTAATAATTCTAAAACCTTCAGTCTTGTTTAGCAGTCTTGTGTTTTCCCTTTTTTCTCTGGAAAATTGAGATTTGAATGAATATTAAGATAATATCCCTTCAAAAGCTTCTTGTATAAAATAAGAGTCCCTTTTGGTTTGATGTGTAAGGTGTAGACAGTGTCTCAAGTCAAAATTGAGCCTTTCGAGAAGCCAACAGGCATTTGTTTACTTAAATGTCCACTTTTTTGAAATCTTTGATCACTTTAGTTCCTACGTCTACGAAGAGAAGTGTTTTGAAAATGCTGTTGTTCTTCAATTTCTCTACGTTTACTTATTACAACCTATCCATCAGTGCAAGTTCGGAATATGCATCCATTGATTGAATTTGAGCTGCTCATGGAGGTTGCCTGCGTTTCATTCTTGCATACTCTCTTTCGAAGCGAACCTAGAGGTTTTCACTTTACATTTTTCTCCTTTGTGAGCATAAATATGCTCTACTGCTCATGAGTGAGGCGAGAAGCATCAAGAAGGGCGCGCGCTGCGTGCGCGCCGCGGAAGTACCTATGGGAACCTGGCCGGGGTCCACACTATAACTGAAAATTTGATACTAATATGCTTTATAGAGCTCGATGTTATGCCTACGGTAGCAAACGGTAAGCTGGGGAGAGGAGCGGGGGGGGGGGGGGGGAGACGGAAAATGAAGGGGTGGTAAAAAAATTTGATGTGTTTTCCGGGGGTTGCTACACTTTTTGCTCGACCCTCGTCATAAATCTATAAATATGTCTAAAGGAGCGTCAATACATACGCAAAACGGGTGTACTTTTAAGCACTGAATGAGAAACATCTAATAATGTGAAGCAAGGAACTCAAGCATCACTTTTAAGTAAACATAGATTCGGAGCACACGATGGCACTTTCTTCAAAGTAAAATGTACCCTAATTTCACGAGTATAGACGCGAAAAAATTTTTTCTACGATCGAAAAGCACAGACAAGACAAAGGACTTTGCGACCAGAAAACTCTATACAGTGCTGCACATTCCTGAGAGTATCGTGTGGCATAAGTTTCGTTTATTGAAGTAGAACGAGACGGCTGAGCGGCTCCCTTGAAGAATCGAAAAAATTGAAAAAATCCTATACTCGTGAAATTAGGGTACTACTCTAGCTCTTGAGAATGGGACTTACGCACGAAAAACGCTTGAGCATCATAGATATCTTCCAAGATTCCTGCTATAAAAACAATGAATGTATTGCCATAACGTATGATCTCTTACTCCTGCTATCACTTTGAAGCTCACATCCGCACACAATGTGTAGCTGGCACACTGAGCATAAACTCGGTTGCATCCGTCACGGTTGTGCGGGCTACTGGTCTTATGGTGACTGAAGGTTGGGCTCTCGTTTTGCTTTTCAGTACTTTGGACCAGGGGAAGGTCTAGAAGGGCAGCACTTAACGGGAATTTCGGTGGTGCAATGAAAGCACGAATTCGAACGCTACGATCCTTTTCAAACTCCTGAAGAAGACGAATTATCCGAAACGTTGAGTCAATAAAGTTTCGCCAAACAACATGGTTTCGGCATAAGAAAAACTCACACAAGGATCAAACGAACTTGCCCTGTCCAAAGAAGAGAACACATATAGGTATAATAAATACTTTTGAGACACCCCGTATATGCTATGACATCAAAATTTCAACTAGTCAGCGCTGCTTGAATTTTCATATATACGGTGCTTATCGAATATCCGAAAATGATGAAGATTGAGTAGTCGGTTTGATGACCATCAAATATTCGACTAACGATATTATCCAAAAGTTAAATTTTTCGATTATTCGACTTTCGAGTAATAATTGAAAAGGAAAATTCTGAGTACTGGAATGTAAATATTATTCAAAATATCAGACTTTTGGCATTCGATTTCATTCGAGTGATCGAATAATCATTCGCTTCGGTCCAAAGAGTGGACCATACATTATTATGACAGGCTTCAATCTCGCATAAAAGTACGGAAGATTTGAGAGAAATGCCATTCTACAGAAAAAATTGCCGTTCACTTTTCACAAAAGCAAAAACACTTTTAACACTTAAAAGTAACTTCACAGTGTTCAATGTAAGCACTAGGTTAAATTTTCGATATCAGGCTGTGTTTCATGAATAACAATAAGTAGGTTTCGCTGTAAAAAAAATTTCCATTTTTTTGTTCTTGAATTTTCATGCAGAAATGAAGCCTCCCGCAGTGATGTATGGACATGTGAGAAGTTCACAGATATTTGGGGTTACCCAGCGACACTTTGATATGTCTTGCAATCAGAAATCAATTTTAAAGTGCCCTACATGAAAGTTTGGCTCCCTAAAATCAGACAACAAAGGATTACGATTAAGTAATTTATAAAGCGCAAGCTATCTTCTATTTTCTAGGTACAAAGCATGAATATACGTTCATAATTTGAAAAAAATTAAATTTCTTCTAGCTTAGAAAAAACTTTCGCATCAACCTAACATATTTTTAACCTCTATTCCTATGTCATATCCTCAGCATAGTGCAGTTTAGCGCGGGTGCCTTACTAGACGACGTTTGCAGACCGTCTTGTCAGCCATAAACGGTTGATTTTAGCTGGCTATCTAGATTTGTGGGAAGGGGGGGGGGAGGAGGCGAGGGAACTTTATAGTCTTGCTTCTTTTATTCAGTGATCTCGCTGTGGGACTTGTGGTGGATGGCGGAATAGACGAAATGAAACGCCAAGGGTGCAACAACATTACGAAAGCGCTCCCAAGAGCGGATTTTTGCTGTGAATTTTGCTGATAATTCAGAACTCTAACGGCGAATGTTTGTCTTTGCGTAACAGAACCGTATAACAATGTCATGAAAACCACATATGTTACCATCTTTAGTAGTATAGCATCACAAGGAACTTCTAGCTGAACATAGTAAATGACGATGCAGAAACTTACTGTTGAGTAAAAGACAAGCAAGTGACGAATATAGCACGACTTGCCAGTTCTCCATTTAATAAAGATTGTAAGGCCAGCTGTTTCCGTTGTCAAAAACCCAGGAAGAGACCCCGCAGATGTGGCGCAAGCCCAAACCGAGGCGGCCGCACTTTTCCACGCCATGTTGAGGATGTGACATAGGGACTGAGACAGAGGTTATGTACGCTATACAAAATCAATGTTAATATTTCAGAATAAATTGATTACTCATAGAGGACAAAAGATTGAAGTAAATGAATTACCTTATATTCATAGCCTTGAAACTCTCTCCAACCTTTGCAGCTACTTTCTGTCACACTTATCAGAGCTAAGATAACCATTAGGAAGGTGCAGCGAGCACTGAGCAACATTATGAAGTTAGCTTTGTTGGGCGAATCTCCTTGCTGTAACTTCCATTTATTTATTTGGATAGCTTTGAAATACCGAAGTCCGTTGCATATAGCATTGGTGAGAGGAGAGTTATGGAAACGAGCTTTATGTTTGAATGCTGCGAAGATCTATAAACTCTTTTGCCTATTCACCTTCAAGTGACTTACCTTCAAGATAAGCATTCATTTTAAGCATGTTACAATATTAGTTGCGTCATTGAATGTCAGTGCTAACATGTTTGTCAAAATAACAATTAAAATAAAGAAAAATAAGCCTTTTCAAGCATTTCCCTTTATTCTATATAATGGCTGCCTTACGCTCGACACCTTTTCGTTTTCCTCAAAAATCTCAAAATAGCTCAGATCGCTACCTGAAAGCGAAACCATCAAGCACCATTTCTAGCTGCCAGTATTCGACCTCTTTTCAACCTTCCTCCCGCAAAAATTGCCATGCCAAATTATGAACATACCCCATGTTAACACCGCTATATGAGTTTATACATCGGAAGTTCTTGGCTTGTGGAATGAACTGGACCATAAACGCACATAAGATGCTCGCAGTTCGCATAGTAATCTGAATGGAAGGAAGCCTGGTTGTCTGATAAGCACTCGTACTATTATCAATGTAATCTTCAAAAAATCTAGAATGCTTTCAAAGGCAGTGCCCTGGCAGAAACTCAACTTTGTGATTTTGTGCTTACCCGGGCCTATTCGCTATGCTGAAACCAAAAATCCACACTGCAGAGCCCAAAAACGGCCGAAAAAGAGCTCTAACACAGAGGGTAATTACAGATGGGCGCGTCCTCCCCGTTGTGAATTCACGCTCCCAGCTTCCGATGCTTTCGGTTCCGGTTTCTAGTCAATATTCGCACTTGGCCAGTGTCGATGTCAGGGCGGCTAGCAACGGAATCGAGAAGATCGCTCCGGAAGCCGAGGCAGTAGATCACACTGGGAAAGACTATGCCTATTTCTGATTTCCTTCCTGCGTTAGAGCGCTTTTTCGCCGTTTTTGCGCCTTCAGTGAGGATTTTGGGAATCAGCATAGCGAAAAGGCCCGGTTAAGCACAAAATCCCAGAATCGAGTTCCGGACAGTGTCTTAAACGATAAGCCTAGGCCTTTTCGTTTGCCAAGATCCGAAAACTAACATCGAAACTGTTTTCATTATGCCTTCGTTTGTCAAAAAATGAAAACAACAAGCCTTTACTGCCAAATATTCATTTATGCAAGTACTAGGTGTTTTCCCAGTTTCTTCCTCTAGGTTGCGTTGGTTCGGTTCATTTTAGTTGATAAGCCACGAAAGATGGTCAAAGGCGCATTTTCTCCGATAATCTAGCAATTTAGGTTAGTGCTAAGAGATTCTTTCAAGATACCAGAGAAAGTGCTTTAGCTTATTAAGTACGCTACCACTGAAGCTCTGAAGCTACCACTTGCTAAGTCTGACAGCGTTCGGTGAACTTGATTGCAATGTTCACAAAACGCCATTAGTTGTACTTTCAAGGATTTTTGTCCCCGCCCCCCAATACTCATGTTTTGAGCCTATTTTAGAATAATAAGATCGAGGTAACCCATGGGACCATCAAACACATCTCGATGGAAACTTGAATTGCTCTTGAAACACTGTACAATGCCAAAAATGCGCTGATTAGTGTCCATCTAGCACTAAAGATTGTGCCTACTGACATACACGCATAATCATCAATTTTTCGCGCACGCACAGACTGTGCGTCAACCCCTCATACAGTATCGCTCGTAAAGTCTGTTTCGGACCAACGCCATTTTGCTATTCTCAGACAATCGCCGGGGGCAGGCGGGCACCGGAAAAATAGGTGGCTGATTTCTCGAATCCCGCTAGCGGATTTTTTGAGAGGCAACCAGGACTTTTAGCAATCGAGAATTTAGCAAGCGACAACGTCGCTTGCTAAATTCTCGATTCCTCAGAGATTCAGCAATATATCAGCAAAAGATAAGAGCGAAAAAAGATTCAACAGGCGGTCTCTCAGAAACTCGCTAACTATTTTCCTGGAATTTGCGAGCGGGATGCGAAATTCAGCAACACGTATTTTCCGGTGCCCGCCTGCCCCCGGCGATTGTCTGAGTTGTTGCTGGGATGTTCACTAACACGATGTCGTTGTGCAGTGCGCAGGAACTCAGTTGGCAATTCTCTGGGTCGGTAGTAAACCTATCGAAACTCAGAGTTATAACTCAGAGTTAACTCTGAGTTATCTCTGAGCTAACGCGCAACATTTTGACCCCCTTAACAGGTGTTTGAACAGATCAAATCCGGAAAGCGATGATATGGCTGGATTCTCCTTAACACGTAGTTTATTCCTAGTAGCGCAACATTGTCCAAATCGTCTTGCACAATAAACAGCACCACCAAACGCGCAACTAGTGTCTGCGATAACTCTGAGTTTGGTGCGAGTTCCAGGCTATCGTGGAACTCAGAGATAACTCTGAGTTTGGTCAGAGAAAGAGAAATAGTGCGCAAAAGAAGAGGGGCAGCTAAAAAGTCCTCCGGGGTACATTTTGCTCGTAGTTTAAGCAGGCATGATGGGGGTATCGTGGTGCGCAGTGATTTACCAAATTTTGAAATTTTGTAAAAACTTGGCCCAGGGGGCTATTCGGTGCGCTAATCACGCATATGGTATCCATTTTTCACTATGGAGTCATGTAGAGGTGTTACGGTAGGTTTACGGTAGATGGGAGAAAATCACGAAACATCGAAACTTGGTACACTGGGGTTATTTGGGGCGCAGATAACGAATATGACACGCAGATTATACTGTGGTGTCATCTGACGAGGTTACGGTAGGTTTACGGTAGATGGGAGAAAATCACGAAACTGATCGAAACTTGGTACACTGGAGTTATTCGGGATGCAGATTACGGACAATCTATCTGCTACATACACTGGTGACATATGGAACGGTTACGGTAAGTATACGGTAAGTAAAGCGAAATCATGGAAGGGCAACTTTGCCCGGAGGATTTATTCTGTGCGCAAATCCTAATAGTCAATTCTTATCATTGCGCATGCCATCCGCTTTCTCTATTGTTTGAAGCTTTCAGCTGCGCAAAAGACCAACCCTCGTGATGAACCATCACTGCCCGATAGAAATGGAAATGAGTGAGGGTTTGGTATAACTTGTTTTGACGTGCTAAGTGTTAATGGAATGAGTGAGTACATTATGGCAAAGCAATTTTAGGGTTCATGGGTGTGCCATGGTCTAGCGGTTTAGTGATAGGATCTTTACGCTAGACCATACAGGTTCGAGTCCCTACTTTAACGTCGCTTTTGCAGCAAAGTGCTTAACAGCTCCTCAAAGCAAAACTCCGAGCTTGAGAGTTGATCGGAATTACGAAAGCGGAACTCAGAGTTTCAATGAGCGTAACTCAGAGTTTCAAAAACGGAACTCAGAGTTATCTCTGAGTTAACGCGGAGCTTCAAACTCGGAGTTTAAACCAGATTACTACCGACCCTGGTGTTTTACGACCTTACAAGGACGCATAAGCTTTCTTTGAGGGAACTGAGCAAAATGTCAGAGGACTTACGAAATTAAACCTATTCTCAGCTGTGTAGGAGGGCCTAGCCCGCCGATTGAACATCGTGATTCTTAAATTGTCAAAGTACCAGCAAATTTGTCCAACTTCCGTGATTTCATTGGAAAAGTAAGTCTAAAGCGTCAAGTTTGTTCAAGCACTGTAGAAGTCATTCAATGTGAATTCGCTCTACACCCAGGTGCAGAATAAGCAAGCCTTGCAAGTGCATTCGAAAATTTTGAATAAATATGCGCAATACTTCTGGGGGCTTGGCAAAAAGCAGACCATGATTCTGACAAGCGATACACGAAGTGCAACATCTTTAGATGATCTGAGACGTACGCCCGAATACGCGATTCAAAGGTTAGCACCGGCTCTCTCCGTTTGCTTCATGACTAAAACTGAAAACCGGTACTGGCCCGCATGCCGCTAGTGCACTGCCGTTGACCGCCGACAATGACTGCATAATTGCAACAACACAATCCGAAATGGACAATTTTCAGTCATTACACAAAGCCCATAAGTGAGACACCGCAGGACGGATAACTGGCTCATCCTAACGCACAAATAAGATTATACGGTATCTCAAAAGTAAGTATACACTTATCGAACCGTAACACCTCTATTTCCACAAACTCTTTTGTTTAGCTTCAAGCACCATTCGGTAGAGCAGGCTTCAACTTATATTTACAGTGTAGAGTGTAACATTCAACTCGCTTCATTACTGTAGGATCACGGTAGGAACTTTAAAGAGGCTTTTGAGCCACTAATGGCTGCATTTCCGCAGAATAAATACATAACCGGAGAACTTTATCGATAGGCTAAACTGACTATGATGTATGGTTCTCAAAAATGTGGTAAGAAAACATTTGATCGCTTCAAAAACTTGTTAAAATTTATCAGCATGTCCGAAAACACAACCATACAACTTTCCAGAGTTTTCTGGAAATTTTTACGGTCTACTTTATAATGGTGCTGTGTGCTAAAAGTTTCTACCGTAATCTACAATAATAAAGAGCGATGGTGATTCCATGCTGTAAATCTAAATTGAAGCTTACTCTATTGAACGGTACTCAAAGCTAAGCAAAAGACTGTGTGGAAAGAGTTATCACAGTTCGAAAAGTGTGTTACTTTTGGGACACCCTGTATAATGGCATTGTCAACGAAGTAGCGCCGCAAAGCAAACTCTAAAAATCCTAGAAATGTAAAATCTGCACAACCTTCATCTACGAGACGAAGGTAATTAAGAACATTTCAAGACAGCCATCTCAGATAATCGCCGGGCGCAGGCGGTCTGCAAACTCGCGCTTTTCTGCAAGCGGTCAGCAGGATTTTGGGGCGTGGCCAAACCTTCAGCGAGTGGTATTTCCTTTACTGTCTAATGTTTTGCCAGCGAGCAGCAACACAGAATTTTCTGCAAGCGCTCGTCAAATAATCTCTTTAGCAAACGCTGGCCAAACTTTCAGCAGGCGCTCG